TCCATCCCAACACTTCCTGTCCATGTCTCACAGTCCTTTGCCTTCCATGGCCGTTTGTCTCTCTGCTCGGCAACACAATTCCGCTGTAACAGAAAAGGAACCATAATCTTCAACACTAGCTGACATGCTCGGCTCCTTTGATCTTCTCTTGGTCTCTGATTTGCCCATCGCTCTTTCTCTGCTTTGTTTTGAGTGTGTTGTTGACTTGACAGGATTGGACTGGTGAGGCAGGGATTGTGTTTGCTTGGTGGAACCAGCTGGAATGGCCAACTGGTGAAGAGCTTATCGTTGTCTCTGAAGGTGAGAAAAAGGCAACCAAACACAGACTGAATGCAGCATATCCTGTCATATCATATTGTATCACATCACATCCTATCATATCATATTTTATCATCTCATATCATATCATATCATATCATATTGTATCTGTACATTGTGTAGGTATGAAAAACATGTTAATCGTGTACCCCAATTGGAAAACATGCATAAATTCACATCGTATTTCGTTTTATCACATAGAGAAGCTCAACTCTCGTCTGCCTTGCCGCCTCCTCTCGTTTGCTTGCAGGACAACCACGTGCTTGCAAGACGGAAGATGAAGAACAAATATGCTACAGTAGACAGGTTATCTAGATTAGTATTGCTTTCTGGTATGGTATCCCCCCCCACCCTCTCCTCCTCGACCCCCCAAAATTCCAACCCCCCCTTACTCCATCCCATCCCCTCCCCCTGCGTAGGCATTTCCCCACATCCTCTCTCTCCCCCTCGCTGCGGTGCCCCTCCCCATTCCTGCCTCTGCGACCCACCTCCCCCTGCATCCCACCTCCCTCTGCGACCTACCAACCCATGTAACGCACCAGCAGCCCCCTGCGTAGGCTCGACTAACCACAGGGCTAACCACGGGGCTTAGCACAGGGCTAACCACAGGGCTAACTACAGGGCTAACTACAGGGCTAACTACAGGGCTAACTACAGGGCTAACTACAGGGCTAACTACAGGGCTAACTACAGGGCTAACTACAAGGCTAACTACAGGGCTAACTACAGGGCTAACTACAAGGCTAACTACAGGGCTAACTACAGGGCTAACTACAGGGCTAACTACAGGGCTAACTACAGGGTTAATCGCACGGGTAATCTATGGCTAACCGCAGGGCTCACTACAGGTCTAATCACTGGGTAAGTTGCAGTGGTAATCACAGGGTTAACCGAGGGCACATCACAGGGCTAACCACAGAGCTAACCGCAGGGGTAACCACAGGGCTAGTCCGAGAGCTTGTGCCTAGTGTGTGGCACATTTGTTACGGGGCTTGTGCCCCTTGGCGCGCTAGTCACAGAGATGATGCATAGGATACTCATTCACAAGGCTTCACACATGAGCACTAACCCAAGCTAAGTGAACATAGTGACCACAAGCCATGTGAATATAGGCACTAAAGCCAAAGGGTGTATGCAGCAGAGCATGCTAACCACAGGGCCAGTGTATTAGGGCAGGCTCCGTACAGGTCTAATGACAATGGCTACCACAGGGCTCATCACAGAGCCAACCACAGGGCACACCACAGGGGAAACAACAGGGCTCAATCAGAGGGCTTGTGCATTGTGGCACAGTAGTCACAGGGATGATGCATGGGATACTCATTCACAAGGCTTCTTACCCGAACGAACACTGACCACTAGAATCTGAACATGTCCACAAGGCATGTACACGTGGGCACTGAAGGCTCAGGGTGTCTGCAGCACAGCAGAGCATGCTAACCACACCACAGGGCCAGTGCATTAGGGCAGGTTCCATCCGAGGTTTATGCATCAAAGTGTGCTACTTACGGGGCTTGTGCATCAAATGAAGTGTGCTACAGGGCTTGTGCAACAGAGCACTTGTGCTATTTACAAGAAAAAATAATTGCTTCCGTGTCAAAATGAGGAATGGATGTTGTATTGATGTTGGTTGGGGTACACATGACAAACCCTAACTTCTGTACCCCCTAAGACAAACCTCACTACAGGCTACAACATTTGACACACCCCCATAGTCTAAGTGAGGGGTGTCTAGCAAAAACAAAAAAAAAAGAGTACGGTCACAAGACCAGTCCAAAAGAAAACAAAGCTCAGGGTGGATCACAACGTCACCACACACTCTGAGCACAAGCAACAGTGGCCACAAGGCCAGTCCAAGAGATCACAAGTATATATAGTAAGTGTACAGACGAAGCAGGCGATAAACTCAAGTCTACGCATGACTAGAACCTGTGTCAACAAGGCCTAACTGCACACAACACCTCTGGTGGTCACAAGGCGGAAGCGCCTTGGTGAAGATGTCTGCAGTGTTGGCCTCGGACTCTACAAACTCGAAGCGAGCCTGTCCACGCCTCTGCAACTCTCGCAGAAGAAAGTACCTGACGTGAATGTGCTTCACTCTGCTCTCCAGTCGCGGCTCACGACAGAGGAGGATCGACGCCTTGTTGTCAGTAAACAAGGTCGGTGCAGAGCTCGGCCGCTCACCAAGGTCGGCGAGCAAGAAGGTCAACCACCGCAACTCCTGTGCCGCCATGGCACCAGCGTAAATCTCAGCCTCAGCTGTAGAGGTCGAGACAGAAGAGGAGCGCGTGGAACGCCAGGAAACAGCTCCAGAACCCAGACTGAAACAGTACCCCTGAGTAGACCTGTGAGTCTCAGCGTCGTCAGCGTAAGAGGAGTCACAGTGACCAGTGAGTACGACAGACTGCTACCCTCCAAGAACTAGCCCCACGCCTGATGTAGTCGCTAGGTACTTCGCCACCCTCACAGCTGCCGTCCAGTGAACAGGACGGTGTCTCCCTGGCGCAACAAAGCGCGCAAGGATGCTGAGAGGGAAGGCGAGGTCCGGGCGAGTACAAGTCATCAGGTACATGAGGCAACCCACAAGCTCTGCGTAGGGACCACTAGGCTCAAACGGCTCGTCAGGAAAGGGACCAGTGAGTCTGTGGTCAACAGCTAGAGGTGTGCGCTGTACGGTGGAGTGCTGAAGCCCGAACCGCTGAAGGACCTGCTGCACCATGTGTGACTGTGAGAGTGTAATGGTGCGAGCGGCTCTGTCCCTGGTGATCTGCAGGCCAAGGTAGTGGCGCAGCTCACCAAGATCAGTGCACGTGTGTCTCTTCTGCAGTTCGGACTTCACGTCTGCCAAAGCAACCCTGTCCGAAGTGGCGAAAACGAGGTCGTCGACGTAGACCAAAACAAAGAACGGTGTGGAGCCACGACGAACGAACAGCGACGGGTCGGCAGAAGACGGCTGGAACCCAAGGTCAGAGAGGGTAGAACGCAGAGTGTCGTGCCACTCACGAGGGGCCTGGCGAAGACCGTAAACAGGTCGCCTCAGCCTCCACTGGGTCCCAGGAGGGAAGGTGCCAGTGAAGGCCGAGGGACGACGCAACCAGACCTCCTCGTGTAGGCTGCCCTGAAGGAAAGCAGTGGAGAAGTCGAGAGAGTGTAACTCGTAGTCTCTCTGTGCTGCTACGTGTAGTAACACCCGAAGAGTGGTCATCTTCGGGGTAGGTGCGAAGGTCTGAAAGAAGTCAACTCCCTCGCGCTGACTGAAACCTCTAGCCACGTAGCGCGCCTTGAAGACCGGGGGAGATCCCGGTGGCCGCTTCACCCTGTAGATCCACATGCCGTCGACTACGTTCGCCCCAGGGGGGGGAACCTCATCGACGTAGGTGCCTGTGGATCTGTAGGAGGCCATCTCTGCGTCCATGGCAGCTCTCCACTGAGAGGCCCAAAGCCCTGACACTGCCTCAGCGTAAGTGCGAGGAGTCGGAATGTCAAGGGCGTCGGGGTCACCCTCAGGGGCGAGGAGCATGGCACAGAGATGAGGGGAAGCGGCCGCCAGGAACTCTAGCTCAAACTGCCTGTCCTCTAGGGCGTCACAGCCAAGGGCAGACACACCCCCGACGGCCAGAGGACTGGTAGGAGGAGCAGCCACAAGCGTGGTGGCGTAGTCAAGGCGGCGGGTAGAGGCAAAGTCAGTAACTGCGGCAGTAAGAGCGGACACAGAGGACACAGAGGCACGAGGGTGAGTAACAAGAGAGGCGAGAACACGAGAGAGAACAGGACGGTACGTGCGGTAGTAGTCAGTGACAGGAGTAGGGAGCGACACAGTGAGGGCCGACTCAGGAGGAGACGGAAGCACAGACTGAGACGGACGAGGTGGACTAGAAAGAAGGAAGGCAGTACGAAGGTCAGTGAAGGGAACAGGAGACGAGGGACGAGCACGAGGGGAGCGACGAGTAGCCCAAGAACGAGACGGAGGAGGAGAGGACAAAGGCGGAGAACTGGGGAAAACAGCGGGGGAGGAGTCAGGAGGAGGAAACGTGGGACCGTAGACAGGAGGAGAGGCGGAGGAGGGAGGAGAAGGGGAGGGGAGACCAAGGATCCGAAGACCCGAGACAGGAGGAGGAAGTGGCTGCTGCTGCTGCGGCTGCGACTGCTGCTGCTGCGGACGCAGCTGCTGCTGGGACTGCTGCTCCTGCGGGTCCAGCTGCTGCTGCTGCTGCTGCTGCTCCTGCGGCTCCAGCTGCTGCTGCTGCTCCTCCAGCCGCTGTAACTCCCTCTCCTCTCTCTCCAACGCCAGCTGCTCGTCACGAGCACGGCGAACACGAGCCTGGTGCCTAGTCGGGTAGGGGTGGGGGGGTGGAGTAGTGTCCGAAGCAGCGGCAGCTCCAGAGTCCACCTCAGAAGAACTAGGCGCACCACCTCCAGAGGCAGCACTAACACCAGCTCCAGAACCAGGCTCACCTGAACCCGAAGGAGGCGCACCCTCACCCCCAGACGCAGCACCCCCAGTGTCCGCGCGGCCAGCACCAGCTCCCGGACGACAAGAGTCCTCTGCACCCACCGGGTCAGCTCCAACTCCAGAACCAGAAACTCCAGCTCCAACCCCAGCTCCAACTCCAGCTCCAACTCCAGCACCCCCAGAACCAGAAACCGGTACAGGAACAGGCGCCGCACCAACCTCTCGAGAGCTAGCACCAGCGGCACGCTGCGAGGAGGACTGTGGTGAGGGAGGCTGTACCGGAGGGGCTACCGAAGGAGGAGGGGTAGCCTGGGACACACCTGACGGGGCTGGACCAGGGGGGGGAGGCTGTACCGGGGGAGCAGGAGGGGGAACGGCAGTCAGGAAGAGGGGGGGAGGAGGAACCGGGAGACCTGGACTGGGGTACCTGACGTAGTACGGAGTGGACTCCTCGAAACGGACGTCACGGGAGTCAAAGAACCGGTGAGAGGGAGGGTGGTAAAAGGTGAAGTCAGAGGAGTCCTCAGGGAAACCAAGGAAGACACAGGGGACGGCACGAGGCGAGAGCTTGTCCGCGGAGGTGTCGCGGACAAGAGCCAAGCACCCCCAGACACGAAACCGCGACGCAACACCAGGGGACCCTGTCCAAAGACTGGTCGGTGAAACCTCTGGTCGAGAGACACGTGGCCAGAGGTTCAGCTGGTGCGCGGCGTACCTGACCGCGTAGGGCCACAGAAAATGGGGGGCACAGGCGTGAGTCAGGGAGGTGCGGGCGATCTCCATGACCAGGCCTATGCGGCGCTCAGCAACCCCATTCTGCTGTGGGGACTCTGGAAGCGTCCAGGACTGACGAATGCCCTGCTCGCGACAGAATCCAGCGAGAATGCCGGAGCGAAACTCACCCCCACGGTCGGAGTGGAGACAGCTGACACGACGACCACGAGTGTCCTCAGTGGTGAGCAACCACCTGATCAGCGTAGAAGTCACCTCAGACTTCTTCGCCAGAGGGAACACTGTGGTGTAGCGGGAGAAGTCGTCAACGACCACCAGAAAGTAACGCTCACGCTCAGGGCCTAGACGAGGGGCTGGGCCCCAGACGTCCAAGTGAAGCGTCTCAAAAGGCTCGGTGGCCGGACGAAGGGAGGAGGAGTGAGGGGTGGCGCGCAGCCTACCCTCGACGCAGGGACGACACGGCGGCGCAGGCGAAGGCGGCAGCGACGGCAAGACACGTGGGAGGCCTAGGACAAGACGCTAACTAGACATAGCGCGCAGACGTGGAAGGGACGGGTGCCCCATCCGGTGGTGCCACAGAACGGTGGGGTGGGCAAGCGACCGGCAGGAGCACGACGCAGCGACTGGAACAGACGTAGGAACCTGACACGACACAGACACCTGGGGGGACGTAGCAACCTGGTGAGACGCGGGGACCCGAACGGGGGGGGGAACCGGGGGCAGTGGCAGTAGGGGGGGCTGCTGGTGCGGCCGCTGGTGCTGCTGCTGCTGCTGCTGCTGCGGCTGCGGCTGCTGCTGCTGCTGCGGCTGCTGCTGCGGCGCACGCGGGCCAGTGTGAAGAGTGTAGAGACCCGAGCCCGGCTCAGCAGTAAAGGTAGCAAGAGGCTGGTAAGAGTCTCCGTCAACACACACCGTAGTCTCTCCAGAAGGCTCAAACTACACACCCACGTGCTGACTCACGAGGGGTCGCACGCCCACCAAGTTCCGGGAGAACGAGGGGACGTGAAACCCAGTGAGAGACCCGGAGGGAGCAGCAGGACACGGTAAAGTGGTAGTGTGACGTGCAGTGACTGGTGCCGTAGTGGGATCAGCCAACGCTACAGAAACAGGCGCAGGAAGTGGTGTAAGTGTCGTGCTGTCCCGAAAGAAGCAGTGGGAGGCTCCAGAGTCCAGTGTGAACGACAGCGAAGTGTCCTCTGAAGTAGTCGCTGGTCTAGAGTCTACACAAGTACCTACACTAGCAACAGGCAACTGAGCAAGACTAGCACCTAAGCTAACAACACCAGAGTAAACAGAGTCAAAAACACTAGAGTCAACAACAGCATACATAGCATGAGGAGCACTAATCAGATCAACTAACTGCTCAGCAGACATGCCCCACAGAGCGGAGCCGTAGCGCTGAACCAGAGGAAGCCAGTCAGGAGTAGGACCGCCAACCCCGTAGGTCAACCGGACCGTGTCAGTGAGCTGAGCAAAGCACTGACCAGGGGGGTGAAAGCGGCCACAAGGGTGGCCCCGACGAGGACCTGTCTGAACCTGGTAGGGGCAGGGAGGGTAAGCAGCACCGCGCTGGGGCTGACGCAGCCCCGACCCCGGAGCCAGCTGCTGACGCTGCTGCTGCTGAGGCTGCTGGGAGGAAAGGGGCTGCTGCTGCTGCTGAAGGTGCTGCTGACGCTGAGCCTGGTACCACGCCGCTGCTCCACCTAGCGGGGCCGGCAGTACAGGAGGCGACTGACGAGCTCGAGGGTCGCCGCCACCAGCAGGTGCAGTGGAGTCACCAGCCGCTGCACGAGGGGTCTCTCCAGACGCTGCACTCCCACCACTGCCAGTCGCAACAGCACCCCCACTACCTCCGCTACCTCCGCCTCCACCTCCACCGGAACCACCTTTCTTGCCCCCCCTGCCGCGGGACCGCGACGCAGTCGTAACAGCAGCCGCAGTCGCGTCAGTAGCGGCAGTGGCAAGAGAGGCAGTGAAGGTGGGTAACTGCGGGACTGTGCACCCGTGGAAGAGTGGGGGGGACACAGTACCAGAGGCGGCAGCTACCGAACGAAGGTTGCTCTCGACGTCCTTGAGTGCAGACTCAAGGACTTCGATAGTCAGCTCACTAGGGTGCTTCAGCAGAAGCGCGTCACGAACGGAGGCAAGGCGGTCAGGGAGGCTAGTGGCGATGAAATAGACAGTAATCGCCATGGGGGGAGGAAGCAGTGCAAGCTGTGCCTCAGTGCAAGCAGCGCGGTAACTAGCGTCGAGCGAGCGGAGGTGAGCGATCAAGTCAGCAGAGCGCTCAAACGAGGCAAGATCAGGAAACAGGAACGGGAGGAAAAGACGGCCGAGAGAGACAGTAGCGGGAGTAGAGTAGCGGGCCTTAATCGCAGTGAGGTACGCAGCAGCGGTGCGAACCTGAGTAAAGTGGACCTCCTCGGACTCAGGGAGGAGGCTGCTGAGTGCGATGCAGGCCGCAGCGTCACGCGACGTCCAAGCCGTCCGGTCAGCGCGCTGACGGGCAAAGCGAGCCGTAGCAGCGTCGTCAGGAGCAGGGCCTAAAGCTGTAGGCTCGGGGGGCTCGGGGAGGTCACCAGTAGCGTGTGACCAGAGGGTCTCGCCCCCCTGGACCTGACTCTCTAATAGACGACGAGCGCGAAGAAGCCAGACGGAAAAGTCAAGGGGTCTACCGTCGGCGTCGAAACGAAGAACTCGCGGAGTTGCCATAGTGAGAACCAACGCGAACGAACAGGCGAGTAACAACCGGGGGGGAAGAGGACTCAGTCGCAGCGGAAGAGCGGGCTAGGGCGACGGGCCAAGACGTAGGGTAGGGCAACGGGCCAGGGCCTAGGGTAGGGCGACGGGCCAGAGCCTAGGGAGGGGGACGGGCCAGGGCCTAGGGAGGGCGACGGGCCAGGGCCTAGGGAGGGCGACGGGCCAGGGCCTAGGGAGGGCGACGGGCCAGGGCCTAGGGAGGGCGACGCGACGGGGGAAAGGGCGGGAGCGACGCGACGGGGCAGGGCGACGGGACGGGGGGGGGTAACAGGCGGGCGCGACGCGACGGGGGGAACGGGCGCGACGCGACGGGGGGGGACGGGCGCGACGCAACGGGGGGAACGGGCGCGACGCGACGGGGGGAACGGGCGCGACGCGACGGGGGGGAACGGGCGCGACGCAACGGGGGGAACGGGCGCGACGCGACGGGGGGAACGGGCGCGACGCGACGGGGGGGAACGGGCGCGACGCAACGGGGGGAACGGGCGCGACGCGACGGGGGGAACGGGCGCGACGCGACGGGGGGAACGGGCGCGACGCGACGGGGGAGATGGCGCTAGGCTCAGTACTAGGCGCGGTAACAATGAAACTGGTACGAACGAGAGGTAGGATCAGGCTCGGGAGGTACTAACGGAGAACGGAGGAACGGGATCCGGCCTCTGGTTAGGTTTTGAGCTACTCGTTCACGTAAGGCCAACACCCCGCTTGCACTTTTTCTGAAAGGGTGCTCACAAAAACTACTCTTTCTAGTAAGGGTGCAAACATAATATGGTTTTCCTACAAGTAGCTGACCATTCCGAAACGGTCGAGTTGATGGTGTTGTAGTGAGTTGCGTAGAGAAATTTACGTGTATGACTCAAGTCCGATACTTGAAGTAGGCTGATCTGATTGAGGTAGCACTTTCCGCGAGTAATCTTACCATTCTCAGTTAGATCTAACTCAATATCATGAGTGTTACTACACCACATAACTCTGAAATATCAGTGTGATATAACCAAACACTTTTTCTTGTAAGGGTTAAAATGTTGACCACTCTGATAAAAAAGGGTGCATCGTCAAACCCAGCCTTATAGTAAGGGTCATAAGGGTGAATCACCCTGTTAACCAGAGGCCTGAACGGGATCCCACAGGATCCTAACCTAGCTGATACCATGTCAGAATGAGGAATGGATGTTGCATTGATGTTGGTTGGGGTACATATGACAAACCCTAACTTCTGTACCCCCTAAGACAAACCTCACTACAGGCTACAACATTTGACATTCCGCATGCAATATATTGTGTGCTTCTACCACATTAGTCTGTATTAATATGATTCAAAATGAAGAACGAACGAACATGTCCATGGTTTAATTTTCTCATGTCGCGTATTGACCATGTGGCACAAAGTAAACAAAATACATCATGCTTATTCAGGGTTGCAGCTTGCATGCACAAGCTTGAGCTGCACAGCTGTGGTGTCTTAAGGGTCAGCAGCAGGGCTTCGTTTTGGATTTGGCCTACTCACGATTGGCAGTGTAGCATTTTCTAAAACCCTTCTGAGCAGTGTGTAAATTTTGGGAAACGTCGGGGCGTGACTAGCGGAAATTACTCTCTGACAAGTCTCGAGGAAAAGAAAGGGGGAAGAGAGGGGGGGGGGGGGGGGGGGGGGGGTGGGTGTGTCTGTACGCCCTCCAGTGTAATCTTCAATAACTAGAAAATTACCCTAAGGCATCAGTGTGGCCTACAACGATACACTTACAGATCAGTGTAACACTAATTCACAAAAAAAAAAAAAACCCCAGCCCATCAGTGTAGAGTCAAAATTTCACCCTTCTTATCAGTATAGAAGGGTAAATTACACTGCAAACCTGAGCCCTGGTCAGCAGGACCCTTGCAAAAATACGTGACGGTGCTACATAGCCAAAAAGTTGCTGGCTCTGCTTGCCAGTGCCAAACCTTGCTGGCGAAAAATGCCGATATATCTGTAGAGTGGAAAATGCCAAGGTTAGAGACGGATTGTCGTGCACCAAGCGAGGCAGCAGACAAGAGACTCACCACATGGAGGTTGTAGTCGTGGAAAATGCAATATGTTTACATGTACATCCCTAAGAGGATTGAAGCTCGTTGGCGGAGAAGCTCCTTCTGAGGCGCGAATTTCTAAATTCTTGATGTTGCAACGGTGGTGGCGGCTGTGCTGAAAAGCACACAGTTACGACTGTCACGTTGTCACCAGAATCTCTCCGAATGGCCTCCTGCACCAGTTCCTGAAGAAAAAACATTCATGTGATTGGAGGAAAAAACCGTCAGTAAAGCCTGAATGCTTAGTGCTAGGGAACCAGAAATGCATAACGCGCCAAAATGTAAGGCAAGGGAGTTGCAACGCAGCACAGACCTGTGAGCATTGCTGAGGGTTGTTGTGGACACGCAGTCTCTTTCGAGCAAAGGAAACCACCTCATGACTGTGGCGGAACGCATCCCAGAGACCATCACACCCAATCACAAGAAACTCATCCTCCTCCGTCAGCTCTGCCTCACGTAGCTCAGGCTCCGCTATAAGCGGACCCACAACTGTTTCCCCATCAGCTGCCCTGTTCTTCATGCCCTGGGATGCGATAAACAAACCATGCATGACAATATGAAAAAGTACAGAAGTTAGCAGACTGCAATAAAAAAAAGGCAGTATTGAACGTAACATTTCTTCTACAACCTGCTTACCTGCAAATGCCAGTCGCCGAGAGCTCTTGTCACAGCAAGTTGATCGTTTAGATAGTCTTCGACAATAAAGCCGCCTGCCAGGTGCACCCGCTCCCTCTCTAACTGACAGGACGGACGGTGGTCCCTGCTTAGCTCCACTACTTTTCCTCGCCGACACAGCACAGCTCGGCAGTCACCAGCATTTGCGACGTACAGAGCCCTGAAACGACCCAATTTGTAAACGGGTCAGCAACAATGAAAAAGGAACTTGATTTGGTACAGGAAGCGAACAAAACGGCAAAGCATGAAGATGATGACATACTTTCCCAGAAGCAGAACTGCCAGCGCGGTTGTCCCTGATTCCATTGGCTCGCTGGCCCGAGTATGCGCCATCTCCAGCTCTCGGTCGGTACGCATGAACGCATTGCAGATTGCTTGTCCTACTCGATCTGGGAAAGACGGATCGCTAAGAATGTTCCCTAGCAACTGACTGCTCACGAATTTCGCAGCAGCGTCACCACCATGCCCGTCGAACACCTGAAAAGGGAAAAGTCGAGTTGGATGTCAGCCCACCAATGACCCATATGCGACCCAGGTGAAGCGCAACAAAGCAAGGCACACTCACCCCGTAAAAAGATCCCCGTCGCGAGAACGACAAATCACCAAACGACTTCGTCAGATCATCAACCATAACATGCGCATCTTCCATGTTCTTCCTCGGACCCTGATCAGATCCATGTCCTGACCGAACGACAGGCCACTCCAGTACCGACGTGGAACGCGGAAACAGCTGGTCAGATACTGGCTTCAGACCATAGGCGCGTTCTGCAGAAGCAGACTCCGTGACTTCCTGCAGACTCCAGCCAATGCGCAACGTCTCTCAGACTCAATATCTTCAGCATAAAAGACCAAGATACGTAACGTCTTTTAATCAACTATGGTAAGATACTTTAGTAGGTAACTCACATGTCTGGCTGAAAGAACAACTTCTTCCTCGCTTGGTAGCAGGTTGCATGTGAAGCTACGTCTCATCAACCCGAGAGGGTTGTTGGCAGACTGTTCCTTGACGCTCATAACGTTGCAGCGTGACTGTAACGTGTAGCAAGTCTCTGGTAAGGCACAACCACTGTGACCATTGAATGGTGTCAAAGGGCTTTCGTGAGAGCTTTCGTCCTCCGCTTCAGGAATCATGGTAGAACTGAGCCACGAAAAAGGCGTTAATCCCTGTCCTAACCCTGACACGTCTGCATCCTGGAAACGTCTACCTTCTTCCATGCCTAGAGCACCCCCTGAGGCGATTGCTGCCATAACCCCGATTGGCGATAAACCTGGCATACGTGAGTCTCCAGCAAACCCTATCTTCACAGACACAACGGACTAACGAGTTGGCTCTCGAAAGAAGGTACACAGCGCGCGAGCGTAAGATGCGGATATTGTTACTACGGGAACTCTCACGTTACGCTATCCTTCTTCACAAACAGGCTACTAGATTCCTTAGACCTGGTAGAGAATTGATTTGTTCATAAAGAAGCTACGGGTTCCTGGTCCAAGGCGTTATTTGTGGGTGCTTTTTTTTCTGAGCTGAGAGGAGGATGCAAGGGTGGGCAAAAAGCGGCTGGCTGATGCTTTGGTGCTCCGTGTGGTGGCTGGTGCAGCTGTGTGCCACATCAGCCGCCAAAAAGCTCCGCTGTCTGCTGAGCGACAGTTGCAACTGCGATGACGTGCGAACGGTTTGTTCGGATCAACCGAGGATTTATGGCCGCAACTGCAGCTGGCGTACGCTCGACTTTGTGGTGTTGCCCGCAGGGCTGGGAGTTCATCAGACCTACACGGGCTGGAACGCGAAGCGAAGTGATGGGCAGGCTAGTGTTTGCAACGACCCTGGAGAACTTGTGTTGTCACATCACCACCACCACCTGGCACTCGCTGGTTTCTTTCCGCTCGTCGCTACCGTCTGTCCGAGATGAAAACCGTTCTTAGCCATCGATAACGAAGAAGGGGAAAAAGGGGCAGGTTCGTGACGTGGCGGCAGATTTTGTTGGGGAGCCAGCATGGTAGGAGCCATTTGTTTTTGTAAAGATTGCCCGAATGCCGTGTGGCCAATCACAAGACCGAGGTCAGCGCATTTTGACGCTCATCATGATAGGGCTGGGCAAAAGCCAACTTCCCCACCACCACGAGGATTCTCCCGAGAATCGTGGAAGCCCAAAAAGGACAATCGAATAATCTGCAACTCGGATCTAGAACCATGCTATAAGGAGGGTGAGTGTTTACAAGTGATCCTATCGAAAAATATATTTATAAGTAGTCTCGCTGGTTGGATCCACTGATTTGAAAATAATTACATACCGTACATTAATTTGGAAAATACTAGCACGACACCTCACCACTCTGCATGATTGAGGGCAAGATAACCTGATCGATACCGTCCATTTGTGAGCCTCAGCTCATTGATGAGCCTGTTCCAATTGGAAGCTAGAGCTCCAACAAAAAAATCACATTCTGATGCTATTATCAGGTTAACAAAGCTGGCTGCAGTTACTGCACCAGGGCCTGCTGACTGCTCATATGAATAGAAGAACTTGTTTCCTGTTTGCCTCTGCACCTTGGTGAAGAGAAAGATCCAGTCCTGGAAGCGGGACACTGCTTCATCAACAACAGTCTGCAAACATGGGAGAAGGGTAGGAGGGCGATGAGATGGAGCAACAAGTGAATTACCCACTTGCGTGGAATATTAAAGGTGCATGCGTGGGTACTTTTTGCTGGAAAACCCAAAGCTGCCGAAAATGCCTACAGAAGAAGGAATGGGAGGGGGTGAACAGATTCCCAAAGCCCTACACATACCTGCATTTCTGTGCTGAGCCACACGTGCTTGAGGTTTGGCACATGCAGGCGCAGGCGATGGCCCAGATATACATACGAGGCCAGCGAGAAGAGCAGCATCTCATGGCCCTTGTCCCCCTGCCGCACATGCATGCTCACTATCGGCCGAAAGATAAACGGCTCTCCCCCGACCCCACCATCCATCATCCCGCCTGCACCACCACCACCTGCATCTGCGGCAGCACTGGAAACACTGTCGGCAGCGTCATCCGAGGCAGTGAGGAGGGCAGTTTGAGTGGCGGCCACGCGGAGGGCGACGCGGTAGCCATAGGTGTCGTGGCGGGCGCGGTTGAGGAGGTGACAGAGGTAGAGCGAGGGCCAGCGCAGCATGAAGCGCAGCGACTGCGAGCGCCACCACGACACCTGCAGGTAGCGGCCCTCGGCATCGAAGCGCCGCCCCAGCAGCTCCGTTGACACCTGCCTCTGCACCCATGGCGACCCCCAGTGGCTGCCATGGTGTACAATGCGGTGCAACGCAGTGTCATGTCAGTCAATGACAACATGCCAAGTACTGAACTGCCAGAGAGAACAATCTCAACACAGCCAACAACCAGTGGCAGAGCGAACTGCAGAAGCTGTGCGAATGCGTGTAGAGAGCAGAGGCAGAGGTGGCAAGAACATACAAGGCAGCGGAAGCCTCCTTGGCCATCTTGGCCTGGAAGCGAGTGACTCCGGGGAAGAACACGACCGGCAGATCTGACTGCAGCAGCTCGTTCAGTGCTGGCCCAGGGTCGGGCGGAGGGACGGGGTGTGAGGGGCCGTGCTCCTGCTGCTGCTGCCACAAGGAGAGCGCTTGCTGCTGGCAGGCGGGGGAGGTGAGCGGGAAGAAGTAGCAGGAGAGGGAGCCGTAGTCTGGCCCTGCACAGCACGCGGGCATGGCATGTGGGGTGGCGTGGGGTGAGCCAGGGCTGTTGTCCGCTATGGCGGCTAGGCAACGAAACAAATGCACGTGGAGAATGAGAGCATGCATGGCAGAATGTATGCACTGCGTACGTACACTCTGCAAGGAAACCTGCTAAGAAACCGTATGAGAGGCGAGGCCCCCCTTTTCCCCGTCCCCCCACCCCATTGCCCACACACCCGAGCAGGAGTTGTGTGCGGCGTGGGAGAAGGAGCCCGGGGCGGGCACGAGGACGCGGCCGTGGAAGAAGGCGAGGCTGAGCGCGGCGCTCATGATGTGCAGCTGCGACCCCAGCCCGTGGCCGCGCGGGTGCTTCCACTCCACCAGCAGGAAGCGCACGGGGGCGGCGGAGGATGAGGAGGGCGAGGAGGGGGAGCAGGAGGGGGGGAACTGGTGCAGCCAGAGGTCGGTCTGGGCGATGTGCGTGAGCGCCAGGTTGTCCTCGTCTGCCCCGCGGATCTGATTAGAGAGGGGACACCGGGAGGGGGTGTGGGGGTGAGGTGAACTGGGGGAGAGAGACGGCAACAGAGACTTGGAGGAGTGGTTGCTCGTGTGACGGGGATAGTGTGTGCAGAAGGAGATCGGAGGGAACTGGCACCAAGTGGTATTATGACACCCCTACGCCACCCACCCTCCCTCATTTCCTCCCTCCCTCCCCGCTCACCCATGGCGGAAGGGGCCCCTGCTGCCCCCCTTCCTGCACTTGCGCCCATGCAGGTGCGCTCATTTCCCCCCCTGCGTTTTGACTACCACCCCTTCTCCACTCCGCCTGCGCGCGCCGCCACGTCACCCTCGCGCAGTCCTCCAGATGCGGCGCGGGCGGCACGCTCACGCGCCCCTCTGCGCCCACGGCCACGTCAGCATCGGCGGGTGCCGCGGTGATGGCGGAGGCTGCAGCGGCGAGGGAGACGGGGAGGCGGACGGCAGGGGGAGGCGCGGTGAGGTTGGCGGAAAGGCCATACGCCGCGTCCCACGCCTGGATAATGGGGGCGGGGGGGGCAGGGGAGTCGCGGAAAGACGGGAGGTGGCGGGGAGAGTACCTGATGGGGACTGGGCCGGGGTGAAGGGGATGGGTAAAGAGTGGTGAGGAGATTGGCCCGAGGGGAGAGACAGCCGTGTTAGGCTGTTGCCTAGCGAAGCAACACCTCTATGCCCCTCACAGTGCCCCAACTCCCAACCACCCGATTCCTTTCGCATCCCCATTCTTTCCCCCACCATCCGCCATCTTCCCATGGAAGCATTACAGCCTCCCCTCCCTTACTCGCTCCCCCTCGCTTCCGCCATCACCACGGGCGCACATCGAAAAGCAGTTGCGCGTGCTGGTGACGTCCGCTCACGCTCGCTGCGCGCGCAGACCGGCCAATGAGATGCTGACACGTGAGAGCCAGCAAAAGAAGTGTAAGACGGTGGAAGAGATTTCTAGTCGACCCTCGACGACGATGAAAGAAGCAGCGGGCGACAGGAACTCTCCGTCGGTTCAGCTGCACTAGGGTGGTAGGTATGCTCAAGCACGGCCATGGTGTCGTGCGAGATGCCATGTCACGGCAGGCGCGGAGAGTTGGACTTTGGACGGCAGGGTCAGAGGAGACGAAGGGCCGAGTCGATGGGACAGACGACGAACGGCGGAAGCACGAAGGTAGACACGCGGGACGACAGCCGGACGTTGAAGACGGTGGAAGTGTGAACTGGAACTTCGGCATACTCGGCACAAGCTCTTTGTCTTGTGTTCGGCATTCACACGAATTCCTGCCTTAGCTGCCTTCGCCGGATTTTCATATTGTAAGGAAAACTCCTTTTTCCTTCGCGTCCCCGCTCAGCGCGTACACCACTGTAGCACCACAGTCAGCACTGTTACCACTCGCAACCCTCGGATCAACAATCCTCCCGCCACCTTCGCACGTCGCACCCCGACCTCACGGCTCGGCGGGTAACCCGCGCTCCGGGCCTCCGCTTCGACACTTTCTCCGACCTCAGTCCCAGGCCAGTCGCGCGACAACCACAGTCCATTACCGTTACCACCATAGTTTCGCTATATATTCTTCGCTCATGCCTTCGCTCATTGTACTCTTGCTTCGATAGTGCAATTCTCGCTCGCTCACTCAATTGCACTCGTAACACTTGGTATTCAGAGCCTACGATCTATTCTCGGACTGCACTCACACCTTCGCTTCCTCACTATCTCAATTTTTGGGGGGGGGTAGACGTCTCTCAGCCAGGGCCCAAAATTGGTTCTGGCCTACCCTTACAAATCAGGGTAACACCCCCTCCTTGAACAGACCCTGAGGGTAAAATTTTCTGTACCCTGTTTGCAGCAGGGTAAATCAACCACTAGCCTGATTTGAGCAGGGTAGTTTTAGGCTAATCCTGTTTTGATTACCATTACGAGAGCTAAGAGATTTTTGAAAGCATAATAACGTAGCACATCCAAAGTCCATGAACTCAACATAAGCCACACATGCACTACACACCTATTCACTGCTGTTGGGCTGAGAAAAGCCCTTAGGATCTTTTGCAGAGGATAACTCTTGGGTAGAAACTTGTAATAGCGGAAGCGTTTAATGAAGATTGTGAACCAACCTTGCACTAGTGTGTGAGAGCAAAGTAGATTAAATTAAACAAGCAAATACAAGGATTTATATAAGAGTACAGGGAATACGAATAGATAGATAACTGTATTGCTGTTGCGGTTCGATATAGTGCGACTCGGGCAACTGGTCTGTAACGAGTCAGTTGTGTGTCCTTAACTGTCGCGCTGTAATTGTCGAGTCAAAGGTCGCTGACCTTTGACTTTCTCGTAACTTCCAGGCGGTTACCCTAACCTCCGAGGTTGACTCGATGCTTCGATTGGGACTGCTTCGCTTGGTGCCTTGGATTTTGACACGACAGAAGCGCACTTAAGACTTATTGTTTCCAACAACTGCCACCCCCACTGCCTACATTCTCTACAAACTGAGTCTACGAAGCTTTGGTGGGGTCGAACTCCCTGGTGGATCGCCTCAGCTTCTCTCCACGAAAGATAGCGACCACCTCAAACCAGTCGACATCGTACCGCAGCAGGGAGCAACGCATCAGATGCTCCAGGCTTGTGTCGCCAAGGCTGCCACGTCCCCAAGTCTTGATCAGATTCTGCTTCGAGAAGCCACGCTCGCATTCAACCGTGCTCAATGGCAGCACGGCCACCGACTGCCACATCCGCATGATGTTGGGGAAGGAGACGCGCCATGCATCATCCCGCAGCATGTTCGTTAGCGCCTGATGGAATTCTTCATTGTTGTGTTGGGCGAACATTGTGGATGTAAACATCCACAGCTCCTGCTGGGCTCTCTTGTAGTCGAACCCTGTGGTGGGGCGGGGTTGGGGTGAAAGCTTGGCCGATGCTCGCAGACACGGGTAGGGATGGGGGGCATTAGTCCAACAAGCAAGAGTATTCAGTATGTGCATTGGTCAACCTCATGTCAGACATCGTTGAGACAACACACATCATAACATGCAATCGCTGCAGAAGGCTTACCTGGCAGCTTTTGGTGGTACAACTTGTGCAACTGGCTGAGCCACTTCTTGAAGGTTTCCAGTCGCTTCGTGTCGTCGGAGACGTACGAAGCTGTGCGAAACAGCTTCGAACCTTCCAGCAGCTCCAGGTCGCGCATCCGCCACTCCAGCTCTTTATCGATGGCGCGCACATAGTTAATCGGCAGCTCGACGCACACCGTGACATCGCCATCCGTTTCATGTCCTGTCAGTGGGCGCTCAAACGTGACGGGATTCCCGTCCCTGTCTACGCCCTCCGCCTTCATCTCGCGCTTACCCTTTGCCCCGTGGCTCTGAATGAACTCGGGAAGCTGCATTTTCTCGACGCTGCCGAAATGGTGTGCAGGGTCGCGGAGAGAATACCGCGTCTTCAGACGCATCCTTGTCTGCTGCACGATGTGCGCAACAAGGGTAATGTCCACCTGCACAAGGGCATGACAGCAAGTTAGGTAGTAGACGTGCTTGCATGCGACAACATAGACGACAGCAACAAAGGCCCTTACTTGGCGCTGCTAGAAACGCTGGTTAAGGCAGTTTAGTTCCCAAAGCACATCCCAAGAAAGCGGATGCGCCAGTGGAACTTGAACGAGGTAACCACCTCGTAAAGATCCGCCTTGTAATCCTTCATCACCACTATGGCCGCAGGGAGCACGTCGAGCAGGCGCTGAATCGCTTCACCACGGGCGAGCCATCATGTGTCACTAATCCCCTGCGCCTCGAGATTCGTCTGGCAAAAGATCCGCTGCATCTCCTGAAACTTCGCGTAGTCCATGCTGCTGCGGCCGATGTGGTCAGCGAAGGCGCGCACGACATCGTCGATCATCAGCAGCTCAGGTACCTCTTCAGCAGCATCACTGGCAGCGAGTGCCTCCCTTTACATAATGGCAACACGACAGATGGCTAGTCAAAATCTAAACATGGTAAAACAGCAGCATGGAGCACACAACGGTGATGCTTACCGATGAGCGATACAATGTGTTGAGGCCAGATGCGGAATGCGCATACAAAGCCGTGTCACGACTCCTCGGTTCTTGCCAACCATGACGCTGGCACCAACGGAGGCGACGCTGGATATCTTCTGGAGGTCGACCCCAATACCTGTCAGATACTGCACGACAGCGGATGTGAGTGAGGCACCGTCACAACGGTCAACAGTGATGAGTGTCAAGAACTCTGTGACCATCGTGGTGCGGTGGAAGAACGTGGCGTATAGAATGAGGTGTTTCCCATTCACACGGTCCGTGCTCTCGTCGAGTTGAATCCCTATCCACGGGGATTCGAGGAGGTGCTGGCGCTGTGTCTCTTGGAGGTATGTTGAGAGGGCGCGCATGTTCTCTTTGAAGCTGTAACTGCCAGGGGACAACTGACGTGGTCAAATACCCGTGTGGATAATAAAGAACACACCAGTATCACCAATTGAGGCCACCACTTACTCTATGTAGTACGCGCCGTAGCCGCCATCGGGAGGAAGGTCTAGTAACCCCTCCTTTGCCAGAAACCAACACAACGAAACGAACATCGCTATGGGTGCGTCGGCCTTGCAGACAAAGTGCGCGATGTGGAGGAGCCGAATGATGTGACGAGTGGAAGTGTTCGTGGCCTGCCATCGTGTGATTGTGGCCTGCTTCGCCTTCTCCGCCTCCGCCTTCTCTTGATTCTCCAACGCCTCCTTGTGTGCACGGGAGGAGGTGTGAGTGCGGATGTTGCCGATCTGGAGATCCCGAGCACCCTCACCCTTTGCCCCGTACGCGGTGTGCACTAGTGGATCTCCATGCTTCACACAAATCACACACTTCAAAGACGGACGGCCGTTAGACATGCGGAGCAAACGTAACCACTTGAAGCTACCTGCCCACTGACCCTCAAACGTCTTCTTCACCAGTTCATACTCAGCATCCGCCAGAGCGGTGGGTGGCTTCGGATCGGCCGAAGAAGCAGGGCGCTTGTGGGAAGTAGCGTCTCGGGGAGGAGGGGCGCCCCAGAGCGTCTGCTGCTTGTACGTAACTCCCACGCGCGGTCGCTTGACGGGCGCAGTGCTGACCGCCGATGGCGAAGCTATAGGCAGCTTTGACGAGCCCTCGCCACCTCCGGGAACTAATTCTATATTAGGATGTGGCTCCCACGCCGTGGGTGAGTCTGGCGGCTCGAACGGATAAACCGTTCCTACCACACATTATGGTGACGGCTCTCGAGGCAGCGGCTGAGCGATGGGCACGGCGTATTTCTTGCTAAGGCGTGGTAAAACGCCCAGCACAGAGAGCCCGTTTCTCGCGCCATCAGGTGGATCGGGCTCTCCAGTGGGCATTGTGGAGCTGAAAGCTGAGAATGGTTGAGAATGAGGGCCAAGCGACAGACCCCCTCGTAGAGAACGAGCCTGTGGCTGACTCTGTAGGGCCGTTTCTTGCATGCGGCGGGGAGTGTATGGCTAGCAAGGCAGGACTGCTGCTGCAATTTGTTGTTAAGGACAGTTTGAAGCTGTTCTTGACAGCAAATTCTGCTGTGATGGCGGTGGGCGTGGCGATGGGTGGCAAGATTCGAGAATGAGTTGGCAGTCGTGCGGGAGAAACAACAAATGGGGCAACATGGCGCGTTGCCGACAGCGAAGCAAGTTTTTTAGCGCGTGCTCACAAGGGACAACCGGTGTTTGTGGTCTGATTCGCAATAGGAAAGATTCGGTAAAAGGGTAGTGTACACCGTACCCTGATTCCGTCAGGCTAACCTTAGATTCTATCAGGGTGAAATAAAACATGCTCTTTTTAGAGAAGGGTAACT